GGGGCAGCCGCTGTTGACGGGCCCAGGGGACATGAGGCTGAGGTGGAGAAAGGCCCAAAGCCCCTCACTGCTGGCAGCGCCGGTGCCCAGCCCAGCCTGATGGACGCGGAGCCCTCCCTGCTCATGGTCTGCTTCCACCTCTGCTCTGGCACGGCCGCACGCCCACCCCGGTGGGACCAGAGACGCCATCGGTGGAGATGAGCTGTGACCCCGCTGGGGCCCGGGGAGCCCTGCCAGGGCTGGCTGTCCCCCTGCTCCCTGCATGGTGGCACTGCCATGACCGCTGGTTCCTGGGGTGCTTTGGGGTGCCTGATGTCCTTCTCCAGGCTGGTGGGTAGCTGAGCTGGACCCTGACCCAAGCTGAACGTCCTGCACCCAAGGGTGCTGCCCTTCCCTCACTGTGTGGCTGAGGAGAGGCAGATCTGGTGCTGACAGCGCTAGCTGGTCCTTTTTCATTTTTTAGCAGCTCTGGAGCTTGCAGCGGTTATTGTAGCATGTGTCCCTTGCAGCAGCCGTGGGTACAGTACCTTCCTGGGTTCTGCCGGTAGCTGAAAAATGTTTTTAGCCAACCAGAGAACATATTGGGGTTTGGTTTTTTGTGGGTTTTTTTTTCTTTTTTTTCCCTTTTGCCACAGCTATCGGAGAACACCCATCTCAGCCTGGCACTGTGAAGTAAGTTTTTTCCTTGAGGATGCAGTATGGTCAAAACCACTAATAAAAGCCATTTGAAGAGCATCCTTGTTGTATAATCCATGGGACACTGGTGCTCCAGCACTGCACAGGGTGGAAGAGGAGCAGCAGCAGGATCACATTGGGGTGGGGGGTTATTTCTGTGCTGGGAGCTTTCCCCAGCTGCTGCCTCCCTGCAGTAACACTGCAGCCGGGGAGGGGGGGAGTCTGCCCATCACCAGCACTGCAGCTTCCAAACAAGAGGTGCCGGAGCAGGCAGGGAAGGAGCTTCTTGGGGAGGGAATGACCCAGCCCCAGCCTGGCTGCTGGAGCTTCACACAAACAGGGTCCACAGGGCTGTTGGGAGCAGGCACAGGGGTCCTGGGCCAGCTTTACTGGCAGCTGAAGAACAACTGGAAATGCAAATCCAACATGTTACACTCATTCCTGGGTGCTGGATAATAAAGCAGTTGCTGAGCTCCTCTAGGACAGGCTGGTTTTTCTCAGCTGTTGGGAGCCCAGTGCCTGTGCTGTTCCCACTGTCCCTGCAGGAGGCCCTGACCTGCCCCACCAGAGCTGTAGCACCAGCCAAGGGACTAAACCGATGCTGGGGAGCAGCAGCATGGCTGCCTCTACATGCATACAAATGTGAGGGGCACCCAAGGGGGCCTGTCCCCTCCCAGGAGCAGCCAGACCCACTTCATGCAGGTGCAGCTGCTGCACGATGCACCAAGGAAGATGGAAAAGGCTGTAAGGGAACACTGGCACTGCAGCTCACACTGCTGCTGCAGCACAGAAATTCCTACCAGTAGCACAGGGCCAGCCCAGTGCTTGCTCCCCGCTTACCTGGTCAGTGTCTGTTAGCACTTGGAATAACGAGAAGTGAAGGAGGGACACAGAGAAGCCAGGATGCTCCAGCCCCTGGCCTGTCCTGGAGCCTGCAGCACTCAGCCTTGGCAGAGAAGAACTTTCCTAAGGCTGCCATGAACTGCTGCTCCCCTTCCCCAGGGCTGTGCTGTCCTCCTCCCTGAGGGCAGAAAAGATTTGGGCAATTCTCTGCCTCTCTCCTCTGCTCCTCTTGTTTCACAGCTTTCTGCCTGCACTCCACAGCCCAGGGCAGGTTAACTCCAAGTTGGTCAGTTACTTCTGCAGTGCCCCAGCAGACGTAGGCACAGCAGCATGACACTTCTAGAAAAGCACTCAGAAAAACAAACTCACATTGCAGAAATGCTTTAGCAGAATATTTATTCAATGCCATAGTGAAGAGCAAAACTCGGTACAAACATAAACCCTCAGTGCCTTGCTCACTGCTCCACTGAGCCAAGGGAAAAGAGATTTCACAATCTTGGGGGAGGAGGGAGGAAGGTAGAGGCTGTTCCTTTGCCTTGTGACTGGACAGAGCGCTGGATATGGATCCTGTGTGCACACACACAGAGGACTCCCTTGTTTCTGGAAGTCCTGTGATAACAGAAAACCTGAGTATGGGGGTTTTGTATAAAACCATGGGCACCTGCTGAGGCATAGCAGAAGGAGGGTACAAACCCTCCTGCCAAGGGCTGCAGGAGCTGTTAAAGCCATCAGTGCGTATCAAGACAGTATCTGCTGCCTCCGTTAAGTCTATTTGCAAACCAAGGCTGAGTGGCACAGACAACTGCCCCCAGTGCTCCCAGGGGAGTCCCGAAATGCCTCCCCCAGCCCCTGGCTGGGATGCAGCTTCTTTCCAGATGCAGCCCACAGCCCAGCTCCCAGGATTGACTGCAGCTCCTGGGGTCACTGCTGGCCCCAGCCATGTAGGGCAAGTCAAGATTAGGAGCTTAATTTTAGACTCTTACATTTGGATACCTGCTGGAGGGAGAAAAGCTTTAGGGAGAGATACAGAGTAAACACCACCGAGTTCGTAATCACTTCAAGTGAGCCAGCTCCACTGTCGGAGGGGTCCCCGGGAGGAGCTGATCACTGAACCCACGGCAAGTCAGCCCAGGTGGAAGGAAGCTTATTCAACTGTGACTTCAGGCAGAGGAGGGCTGCGTTCCCCCAGTCTCTTGTGGGTGAATACCTGCAGCCACCCCTGGGTGCCTACGCCTA